TTTCTCCAATAACTGTGACTGACACATGTCACATTTCAGCACACAAGGTTGCTCAGATGGAGCCAGCCCAAACAAGAAAGAAAAAATCTACAACTGCTTCAAATTTCAACAACCCAGACAGCTTACAACAGAGGGCAGCCGTAGTAAATCTTTCAGTATAATGGGCTCACAATGATTTCCTGCTGGGAGAGCAGACTGTCTTTAATTTATTATCAGACATCAATGAAACTATTTGTCTCCTGTAAAACGAATGAACAAAATGAACGAAAGATTTTCGCCCCTCGATAGTCCTCAGTAGGCGTGCTTTCTTTCACACCACATCAGAAATTTTGAATCTACTCTTGTGTAATGTTTTGGGACAGTTTCTAGGACACATGATCGGCTCCAGTGTCTCCTTACGACATAGCCGCTTAAACTCAGCTGCTCTAAAGTTCCACAGTCTTATGTGGAAAACTGTGATTCAGCCTGAAAATTTACAACATTTTTGCAGGACAAGAAAAAACAGAGTAGAGCTGCCTCAGCAGTACAGTGATTACCATGATTATCATGTTTAAAAGATCAATATGGCAAACTGGAAGAAAAAAAAAATCCTGTTGAGTCAGGAGACTCACATAAGTCACATTCTGCAGTAAGAAGTCAGATGACTGTTTAAGGTGATGATGGTAGTAACAGACAAGTTTGCAAAATTATAATGCACTGCTTGTAAGACATGGTACAATTAACAATTTCATTGGCATTTAAATATTTTTGCATGCTTTTTTCAGTTTAGACTATTGAAAAAGCAATAGGCTAAACTTAATTGTGAGGTGAAATTAAAGATGTACCAATCAGTCAACTGGGGATCGACTTAGGCCATTTTTTTTTCTTGATCAGCCCTAATTTTTGACAGCATGTCTTTTTTGAGTTTAAAAAAAGATTCAAAATGTTAGGGACATGGACTATGCATGGACCATATTGTTTTATCTTTTATGTGTTACAGTCTGTATAGGAGAAAAAAAACCCCAGAAGTGTCTAAAATGAAAATCGACAGGTCAGACATAATCAACCAGGAAAATCCTGATGAATGAATCATTTGTGAAGATATAAACCCAAAGATAACATGCCAGTAACACAGACAACACAATGGAGATATAAACGTAAACAACTTTAAAACAAAGTCTACAAAATAAATGCCTTGTCTATCAAGCACCACAGAGAAGCCAAATCTCCCCAGAGGGGACATTGCAGTTTTACCACATGAGATAAAAACAGCATAAATCACAATGAAGTCCATAAAAACCCACTGTGAAATACCACAGACACAAAAAAATCCCCAGTGGATAATGTTGTACAGGAACTGGCATAGGTAGCTTGAACATGTGCCAATCAATAGGCAAGAAATTGGCCAGTCTTCACCTGATTGGCACTGATCAGTGCCGATCATTGTTTTCCCAACAGTAAAAACAGCAAAAGATGTTTTACCACAGATGGTAAGAACTTCATACCATTGTCAGTCCCTAGATGCATCAACTAATGATATGTTTTGCTGCATAAGATTTGTTGCGACTATTCTTGACAGCGCATTTTCTTTCTCCTGCTTTAAGGATCGCAGTCATTTTGAATTTTAAAAAACCAAAACCGAAACTAGCAGGTCAGAGTTTTGTCAGCTTTGTTGACAAAAAGTTTTTCTCCAATCCAGACATTTTTTCTGGAGAATTAAAACCACATGCAGAATGACTAGAATTACAGTAGAAATGAGTGACATTTATGCTATTGAATAAAAACTAAGTTGTAAAAACACTGGAAGGATCCATATTTAATTTTAGTTTGAGGAACAGTGAGATAGATTGTGTTGCAAGATATACGTTATTTATATTGCATTCTAAAATACATATTAGACTTCAATGTAAAAATATGTATTTTCTTGATAAAAGTGAACTAAAAAGTATTTGAATATAGCTTTACACTATTGTCAACTGACTAAATTGTGAGTAAAGTTAAATTACACTACTTCTTAAAAGAAAATTGGTGATCGGCATCAGTCAGGAATAAACACATGATTGGTGCACCGCTAATGTTGTCCTCAGTAAATTCCAAGAAGCAAGAATGAAAACAGTCAGACAGACATACCTTCCAACCTGCAGAGCTGTTGCTGTCTCCCTTGTCTTTGAAGTAAGGCACACTTTTCACCATCCAGTCATAAATCTGAGACAGCGTTAGTCTGTTCTCTGGAGAACTTTCAATAGCTTTGGTTATGAGGTCTGCATATGACATATTCCCCCATGCGTTCCGCCGAGAGGAACTGCTCTTCCTCTGTGCAGCGGCTGCAGCAGCTGCTGCGGCTGCCGAAGGTGAGGAGCCCACCGGGGTGGAGAGCAGAGGCACCTGCTGCTGCTGCTGCGGGAGTTGCGGGTTTGGGTGCTGCTGCTGCTGCTGATGCTGGTGATGATGTTGCTGTTGGGCTTGCTGGTGGACGCAGTTTTCCTGACACTGAAACTCGTTGCACAGGATGACCGGCTTCTGCTCCGTGAAGTCTTCATTCTCCTCCAGCAGGCTCAGATTGTTGATGAACTCCGCATTGCCAACGCCGGGCTCCTGCTTCACGGACGGCACCGGCGACGAGGTGTTGGAGTCTCCCGGGTTGATGAACTCCGGTCGGGGCAGGGGCCAAGTGCACGACCGGGGCCGCGAAAGGGGCTCGAAATCCGGGTCGATTTCCACCAGGTGTGGCTGCTGGGCCGCTTCCGCCATGGTGTCGAGAGGTGACCGAGTGTTCTTACAATGTCATACAAGTGTGACACCTTTTAAATAAGTCAAAACTTACGTCTCTGAAATGTTGAGAAACTCAAGAAAAGTCTCAGTGCTCCGCCTGGGCGCAAAATCCTCACTGGAAGTTACATCCCAAGCCGGTGGAAACGTGAAGCAGGTTGAAAAAGTCTGCGACTGAGTGGTCTTTCAAGGGGGCTAAAGTGGAGTTGGTGGGACGGGTCTGCTGGAGCGCTGGTTTGTTTATGTGGTCCAGTCGGGGTGATGTTCCGTCTGATGTCCCGCACAGCCTGTTGACTCCGTGTTGTAGACCATGTGAGGAGGATTTACTGGAAGTCTCATTTGTCAACTGATACCACCCACATTTGACTGACAGCCCTGAGCCACCAATGAATGCTATTTTAAAAGCTCCGCTGGTTTTATTCTGAGAGGGACCACAAATACAGTTAGTTCTCAGATTCTCTTCTAAAGTTCTTTGTAATGTCAGTTTAAGTAAAATAATCTGGCTTCTATAACAGTTTTTGTTGTCAATTTCTCCTCCGACCCCTAGAATTATATTATATTATATTATATTATATTATATTATATTATATTATATTATATTATATTATATTATATTATATTATATTATATTATATTAATTTAAAAGATTGCCTATTTCAGTAACACAGAAAGAAAGACATTTCATTACACCCTTTTTCTTTTTTCTGTTAAATACTAAAAGAATAAAGTTTTCAAAAGGTACTTTCAGTCTCACAAATGAGCTTCACTGGAACGCATATTTCAATTTATTGAACATGATTGAATATATAGTGTATATTTTGAGTTGAAAGTAGAGCAGATGAAATCAAGTATTGGAAATAATAATTATAATAAAAAAAACATTTAGTTTTCAAATAAAATTAGGCTAGTTATATATTCCATGGTGCAACTTTTTAGGTAAAAAAAAAGAATCAAATCAATGTTTTTGATTAGATGGTTGATTAATGTAGCATCAAGCTGAATGGAGTATTTTTTTTTTTCATTAGGAAGCAAGATGTAGTTAAAGCTGAGGGAAGAAAATCTGCAAAACACTTTATCCAATAGCTGAAGTTACCTGCCAACAGATCATACAATCATAGCTGTCATAGAACAACATGACCATGGCAATGTCCAGACCTAAACCCACTTCAACATCTGTGGCAAGATTTGATAATTGCTATTCAAAAATGCTCTTTGTTCAGTTCAGATTTTTTTTGTTTTGTTTTGTTTTTGACTACATTAAAATACAACGGAAGCTTTTAAATGGTAAATAAAATAAAAAAAATTCAGGCAACATGTTAGCTGAGACCCCATAATGATCAAGAGCAAGAAATGTTAAGAGTGTATGTTCTAAATGGATCAAAAGTGCAGTGCAGTTGTGATGCACATAATGATTCATCATAAAAGCCCCTTTTGCAACATCTGGACAACATAACGTCTTTTTGATCTTGCTCTCTTTTTCTCTCTCTGACAGTCTCTTTCTTTCTCTCTCTCTGTTTGTCTCTCCCATTCTTTCTCTCTTTTTTTCTCTCACCATCTCTCCCTTTCAGAATTGAATAGAATTGTGCCATATTTGCACAAAGAAATTAGGATGACCCATTTACCAAATAGTTTTATATTTCACTGGCTCTCAGAAAATGATTCAAATGATTCAAATATCCAAACACAATGGAGAAGCAGCTTCTTAAACAAGAAGCAGCAGCAAAAAGAAGAAAAAAAAAGATTTATTATGCAACTATGGTTTTTTTTTTTTTGCTAGGTTTGCATTCTAATCTGTATGAATCACAGCATCAGTACAGCAACTCATTCTTAAAAATGTATATATATTTCTAAATAAGAATACATTCAAGTAATTTTGTTTACCCTAATTTTGCACTGAAATGCTCAATAGATAGATAGATAGATAGATAGATAGATAGATAGATAGATAGATAGATAGATAGATAGATAGATAGATAGATAGATAGATAGATAGATAGATAGATAGATAGATAGATAGATAGATAGATAGATAGATAGATAGATGCTACAAATTTCATCCAGCATCCGTGGAGTCTGCTGACATCTTGTGGATAATATTAGGTATTACAATCTCAACTGTGTTCGAATAACCTATTGTTATAAGAGGGTTTAGCAGATGTTATTTCGGTCATTCTGAGTTTGAGGCTTTACGAGAATACATAAACATATACTAACTTTCTATTCCGAGCCTTTGTAGTCATGTCTAAATTGATTCCATGTTACTTGCAGAGAGCGTCTCATTTCTGTCTTCTGTCATAGATATCAGTCTCTTGACGCGCTTACGTAAGGGCTGCGCCACATCTTCAGGGCGCAACGGAGACGGAAGTTAAGCACAGGAACACCGACGTTAGCTCGTTTGTTCGGGCTGTATGAGAGCTCTGTTAACCTTTCCCGGAGATTGGGGTGAACAGTTTCGCCCGAGGGGTTCTTGTGGGGACAAACAGTGAAGTAACGCTTCGACGAACAAATAACACCGTCTTACCTGTCATACTCTAAATCCGAGTTAAGGGGACTACAGAACAGGTGAGTGTGAAATATAAAGGTATATAATTAATCCTCCTTTTAGTGGGTGTCAAGCGTTTCTATTTTTGCTCTAAAAATTACATGGGCTCTGGGGTTTGTGACTTTTATGAATTAAAAAAAAGATTTGACCCTCATGTTTGTTTACATGTACACAGGCTTCATCATGGCTCCACATTCTGTAATACAGGCTCTCATTGACTTTTCAGCAGGAGCAGCAGGTGAGTTCATTACTTTCTTAAACCCTCATTCTGTTAATTAAAGGTATATCAGTCGAATTAGACTACATATTCATGTTTTTTAAGGACCAGGGATGGAGAGATCTATAGAATGTTAATTTTGGCCACTACAAATCTCGCTTTTCTGATATGGCTGCAAGTAAAAGCATTTTTGGAAGAAATCAATACGAGCTCTGATTTGGAGTTTTCTACAAGTCACTACAAAGACTTGTAGAAAACTCCAAATTCAACTGTGATCCAAAACACAGTGAAAGGTGGTTCTACAATATATTTAGTCAGGAGAGCTGGATACAAATGTGTGCCACACACACTTTTCAGATATTTATTTGCTAAGACATATTGTTTGTTGATCTGTAATATAGAAGTCCAATATTATACAACTGACTTGAATATTTTCTAGCTATACTTTTATATATACCCTAATGGTGAAGTAAAAAATGTCTATTCTGCTTTGTAAAACTTAAACTGTCCTACTTTAGGTGGTACAGCCTGCGTGCTGAGCGGTCAGCCGTTTGACACCGCCAAGGTGAAGATGCAGACGTTTCCCAGCATGTACCGTGGCTTCATCCACTGCTTCGTTTCAACTTTCAAACAGGTGGGACTCCGTGGTCTCTACAAAGGCACCACACCAGCCCTCCTGGCCAACATCAGTGAGAATGCGGTGCTCTTCTTGAGTTATGGCCTGTGCCAGGACGCTGTCCGTCTTTTGTTAAGGATGGATAAAGGAACAGAGCTCAGGTTTGATACTGATGAGGATTTCTGTTTCTGTCTAAATGTTTCACTGTGGACAAATCCATTTGTTTCCCAACCCTGGTCTTCAATGAACACTGACCTGCATGTTTTAGACGTTCCCCTGTTCCAAGACACCACCTTCAGATGATTGCAATTCAGCAAAGCCCCGTTAGTCAGCCATCAATTGAAATCATATATGTTGATATAGGGGAATGCCTAAAACATACAGGGGAGTGTGAAAAGCAATGTGTTAGGCCACCACAATAATGTTTTGGAAAGTTTGGAAAGTTTGCAGATCTCTTTGAAGAAGTGCTAGTAACAGGATCTTTTTCGCCGAAGCATCCCCCCAAACAGGATGTGCAAAACTCCATAAAAAAACGAAAAAACAGCATCCAGCCTACGAGAGACTAAAAAAGAAAATACTCTTAACTACTGATGTACTGTTCTGGGAATGTGATGTAAATATAACAATATATACAGAATGCACCATCCACAACAGGTTTGTAAAAACATTAAATATTTTATAAACCATAAAGTCCAATTGGACACACAATGTTCCACTCGGTTGCCAAACAAGAGCCAAATAAATAAATAAATTTTCAAAATAGGAATTATATCCACAGTGTATTCACAAAGTTCTCAAAAAGCACTGTTGAGAACAATAATGTATTAAATAATCATTGTATTGTACAAAGTATTGCAGTTCGTAAACAAAATGGGAACCTACCATCACCTACCTAGTGATGGTAGGTTTCCGGAATGAAACTGTGGCCAGATGAACCACATTTTTAATGTTTTTCTCAGCAAAGTCTGCAGCAAGGGCTGGGTCCTCAAACTTGTGAGTTTGCCCATTGGGCAAAGCACGTCCTACAGAGTCAGTGCTCAGCAGAGCCTCAGACAACAAAACTGTTTTTGAATAAACCTGGATAATATGAGTTAGAAAATCCTCTTAATTTTTCTTTGGCATTAATAAAGTATTTTGGACTAATAAAAAAAAAAAGAACAAAAGAAAACACTGAATTAAAATTGATTCTTGTTACCTAACGCACGTAACTATATAGATATATAAAATTTTGATTATTCTGTGCAAATTCATAGCAATCATTTCAACCTTAGCATCAATGTGTGTCTGAGGACTGTCACTCATCTTTATACATTGAAACATTTTCTGTTTGTGTTCAGTGATGTCCAAAAAGCTTCTGCGGGGTCTTTAGCTTCCATCTTCTCCTCTATGGCCCTTTGCCCCACAGAGCTGGTGAAATGTCGTCTGCAGGCCATGCATGAAATGGAGGAGACTGGAAAGGTTGCAAAAGGACAGCGAAGGTCTGTTTCATCAGAGATGTTGTAATAAACAAAGCATTTTCAGTTTCAGTTGACTTCACCTTTCCTTTCTGTATTTGTGGTGGGACATTAGCACTGTCTGGTCTGTGGTTAAGAGTGTGCTGAGGACAAATGGTCCTTTGGGTTTCTACCAGGGACTCACCTCAACCATTGTCAGGGAGATACCAGGATACTTCTGCTTCTTTGGTGCCTACGAAGTATGTCGGACTACATTTGCACAGCATATGGGGACAGACAAAGACAGTATAGGTAGGTTCATTTAAGTTTATTTTATTTTTCATGTCTGTGCTTAAAGCTATCTTGCAAACTTACATCTTTGTTTGCAGGCATTCTGCCTCTTATGTTCAGTGGTGGATTTGGAGGGGCTTGTCTTTGGCTAGTGGTCTATCCAATAGACTGTGTAAAGTCTAGGATCCAAGTCTACTCTTTAGCTGGAAGGCAAGAGGGTTTCATGAAGACCTTCATGGGTATTATACGCACTGAGGGTAAGCTTTGATGATGCAATGTTTGCCTGCTTACAAATGCAGTTAGCAGTTCCAGAATACTGGGCATGGCTGATTGCTATCACAGCAAATCCTCAATAGAGACAACATCACACGTTTCTCTTGCTGGAGTTATGGTGATACTATACGACAAACACATTCAGTTGTTGCGGTCTAAAATATCAAGAGCAAAAATTAAGCCCTAAAACACTGAGAAGCACAAATATTTAACATTAATGTTAATAATTTTGCATTTATATGCAGCTTTGCTAATATAGCTAATCATAGCCACTGTTTGACTGTTTCTGCCTTACAGGTCTCACTGCTCTGTACTCTGGTTTGACTCCTACCATGATACGCACCTTCCCTGCCAACGGAGCGCTCTTCCTAGCTTATGAGTTCAGCCGTAAATTTATGATGGACACAGTGGGGGGCTGATAGGGATGATACAAAATGTTTGGTCAAAATAATTTTAAATAAAGTTTTAATACAAATATTCATGTCATGGCTTCATATTTTTTTCTTGGTATAAACATGTAAAAAAATGTTTATCTAATCAATGGATAATTATCTACCTGTAGCAAAACTGAAGGATCAAAGTGACTGAACAGTTCATTTCTTCATCTTTCATAAAATGTCAAAACTCTAAAAATGTCAGTTTATCTCATGGAATATTTGCATAGACTTACTTTTACTTGCAAACTATACAAAGTTCTAATGGGAAATGGCATGCTCTTATTGCAGGGAAAATATCTTGCATTGCACATATCCTAAAAATTTTTTTTTTGTTTTTTTTTTTCAAAAATACATCTGTGTAGCCTTCTCGAGTTACATTCGGAAAATTTCTGGTAAAAGGCAGTGTTAGCAGCTCATCAAAACCTGGACTTCTGTCATTTAGCTGGTCTTTAACACAAAGTCAATAAGATAAACATCACTGGTGATCTTGCCATACTGCCATTTCTATAGTACTCGAAGTCCATTCTGCATTAAGAAGGATTTTTCTAAGGTTGAAAATCATTTATCATTTATTCCAGGAGTAGACATCACAACGTTTAATGTGGAGTACTCAAAGAAATTTCAAAAGATACTCAAACTCTGACTCAGACTCTATAAGCCTCAGGCATGTTGAAGGTCAAAACAGTAAAATAATATAAATAAAAAACTGAACTATGGCTTGTTTAGCAGGTTTGTCAGGATGAAACCATGTCCATATTCTTGACTGTTTTTAGATATAGATGACACCAAAGTGGAGATCTATGCTTGATAATGCACAGTACAAAGTTCATAACAATAAAAGAGACAATAAAAGCGAATGCAGGTTACTGGCAAAAAAAACAATGTTGGTTGTTTTGCAACCACAGGTCATTGACGTCTTGAAGACTTTGAATTGACTGTATTTTATTCCAAATTAAAATGATGTGAAGTCTTTATTGTTCAATAAAAAATAATAATTTGAGAACCTTGCTTATTTATTAAAGTGAATCAGTGAATTTATTCTAGTCTAACAGAAACATTTCTCAGTCCAAGATAACTGACATGTTTAGAGTAAACGGGTTTTATTGAATTTCCCATTCAAGCCTTCTTACTTTCTCTGTGAACAATATGAATGTGGTTATCACACCCCGCATTTTGTGGAAAGGCTGTATTTCCTTTTTGCAGTCGATGAAAAAGACATTAGCAAGAAAATAAAGTTCTGTAAGTGATTTCTGTGGAAGGACTTAATTTTTTTCTCGTTAAAGTGAAACGAGAGAATGGTCACGCTGTCTCACCACATTCAGCCTCATGTTTCAGGACGTAATTACTTATTCATCGCCTGCAGTCAACAAGTGGCCGACTCCTGCGAGGGCAAGAAGATAATAGGATACCAAGAGGACTGAATTTGGAGTTCTCAACTGTGGGAAGCATGCAAAGGCTGGATGCACTGTGGTTCGGGTTACCACAGCAATAGATTTGTAGAAGGCAAGATGAGAGAAATGGACAGACCACACCCCACAGAGAGAGGAGGGAAGTAAACAAGTGTGCTGCTGCAGCTCCAAGCGCCAGACTCTTCACGGATGATCTCGACTACATGCAGCACAGTGGAGATGGTTACTCCACGCAAACTTCAGATCAGTGAAGAAAATGTTGAAGGTAAGTACTTTTTAAGATCTTCCCATAACCATTATGGATACATGTTGTAGGTTTGAAATGTTCGTTAGCTCCAAATGAGTCCTGTTGAGGGAGGTACAATAAATTATTATTCCGAGGCAAATGTCTGCTTTTATCCTTTTATTGTATTACATTTTTTAAAGTGAGTATTTTTTTCACATTGTAATATATGTTACCCTCTCAGGCTCAAATTAAGTTGTAGTTGCAGGAAAAATCTGATATTTGGAGAAAATAATCATATGGGGTAGTAATATACAATTCAGACTTTTTTTTGAGAGAAACCTTCACATGCAATGAATTCTGGGATGTTGCAGACTTGCAACAACGGCCCGGAATGGTAAATTAACACTGAAGACTGAATCTGATATGAACATTAACTTTATCTGAATGTCACAAACAAAAAAATTAACAAAACAAAATCCCAAAAAAAAAAATTCTCTCTCAAAATTAGATACAACTTTTTCTCAGACTTTTTCTCCACCGACATTTCAAAACCTCTTGAGAAGGCCGTTTTTGCAAGTCACTTTGTTGTGTGGTAGTCCATGAAGCAATTCTTGGTCTTTGTGAAGCACAAAAGTACTTTGCACTTCAAGCAGGCCGTTTGTGTGTAGCCATCCTTGCACAGATATGTACTATGGCCATCAAGATGTGTAAGCCAATGAATTGCTCCATTTCAGCAGGGGTTGTTTTCAATTCTGGGCCATTCTTTATAATGGCATACAGGTTAGATTGGTGAGAAATGTGTTCAAACACAAATTTGTCCACGAACTGATCAAAATACCACTTTGGACTCGGGATTTCGTCTGGTGGAGTTGAGAACGCAGGTCCTTGCTGGAGTCTGACTTGTAAGCTTCAGGAGTTTCCACAAAATCTGGATCTGCAATTTTATATCTGCATGTAGCATCCATTGGTACCTGTTTGGGCACACGTTGCAAATCCACAACATTGAAATCGAGATGCTCGATTTTAACCCGGAGGAGATAAAATCTACTAATTTACATGTGTCATATCTATACACATTCATGATTCATCTTATGTAGTATTGATTTCAAAATAATGGAAATTGGTAGTGATACTTACATGAAATTGATGCTTAAGAAATCTGTTTCGGTGACACCAAGGACTCAGCCATGTTGAAAGTGAGTCAGCAGTGCCATGTGGAGAGCTGGAGGGAAACTGTTGCAAATGCACAACTAAACCCTTCTGTTGTACTGCTGCGTGACAAAAGCTCTTAAAATATGGATGTGGAGTAATTAGATAAGTAGCATTGAGATGTTGCAAATCTGCAACACCTGCCTGGAGCAGCTAAACTAATAAATATTGATTTTGATGGCTAGTGTTCTAGATCACCATTCATTGGCTGCTACATTTCTCACTAGCTTTACTGAATTGATTTATTTCTTTTCATCCATAATCCAAATTCACATTCTGTATTGAAATTTGAGCTTGGATAAATATGTAAATTTTTCCAGTTATTATTGCACAGAAATGTAAAATAAAGCTATGGAAGTACAATTGTATGCTTTCATTCCTCTTATTCTAAATTAATAAGAGATAGGACAGTAAGGAATTATCCTCTTGCTTAAAATTCGGCCTTGATCATGTTGGCCAGCAAAGAGGTGGAGGTTTTAATCACTACCAGCCACTCTTTTGTCTCCCCTTCTTTATCTTTCAATATGCTCACCTCAAAGAGTTGATCATACAAAGTGCTGTGATTGAATGAATGTTTAAGAAATTCAAGAGATGACAAATAAATCCTCCTTGTTGGTGTTACTAGAAAACATGATGGTTATTTGCAATGATATATCAGTTTGTTTGCAAAACATGTCTTGATTGAGACAACCTTTAGTTCTTCATAATTTCCCTGTGAGATTAATTACATCATTAGTTACAAATGAGATGTGTGAATTTACTGCAGCCCTTATGTGACAGCGAAGATGTTCCATGTTCTCCCACTGGATCGTACTACTTTCTAATCTGCCATCAACAATCTTACTGCAAGAGATGTGTATTTATTATTGAACAGAATCTAATTTTAACAAAACAGACGCTTCCTGTTGTACTTTGAACTTCTCTTTCTCCACAGATAAAAATGCAGGCAGGTTGGGATGTTTTGGTTGGCTGCTGGTAATCATATCCCTCCTGTTTATAGCGCTAACCTTCCCAATCACATTGTTTCTGTGTGTCAAGGTAAGAAAATGTTCTTCTTTGTTGCTAATCAGGCTGCATACAACAGACCAAAACAGTGGAGGGTTTCATTGTGAACTGGAAGGAAATAATACACACATGTCTTCCATTTTACTTTTACAAAAAAATAAAAACCTTAGTGTGGCATGGATTTGTTTTTAGTCCCCTTTACTCAAATATCCCTAAATGAAATCTGGTACAATCAGGTAATCCTATCTTCTCTGAGGATTTTTAGATCAATTTAGTGAGCAAAATATATAAGGAAGAGCAAACAAGGCAAACAGGACACTGTTGTTGAGAAGTGTAGAGAAGGATTAGGTCAAAGAACAACACCCAAAACCCTAAACTGACAAGTGAAACGAGAGCATGTACCAGAGATGAAGCCAAGAGGGCCATCTCTAGAGGAGATGTGGGGATTAACAACTCAGGTTTATGAAAAAAATCCAGAAAGATGAAGATGAAGAATTTGGGCCTAAATAATAATAATAATAATAAAACATTATAGACTATCCACATTGAAAATGTTGTGGGAGCATTAATGAAAGATGGATATAGCTAGATATAATATAAAATGCATACTTTTTAGTTTAATATTTTTATTGTAATAAGAAGTATTACAATAAGGATTATGAAATTTTTTTTTATTGTGAATTCTTTTACATCCAAGAAGTAAAAACTCTTCCCAGAATAATTTTGCTCTTTATACTGTTTGCTTTCATTGGTCTCCAGATAGTAAAGGAGTATGAGCGAGCAGTCATTTTCAGACTTGGGCGAATCTCCGATCGGAAACCTAAAGGACCAGGTTTGCAGTTTTACATGACGGATTGTACACACCAGATCATTCCAGAAACTGATTTTCAGAAAAAAAGTTGAACTTGAAACAGATGCAGTCTGATGTTTCTCTCTTTCTAGGCCTATTTTTTGTTTTGCCCTGCACTGATAACTTTGTGAAAGTTGATCTAAGGACTGTGTCTTTTGATATCCCTCCACAAGAGGTGCGTTTTCCTTTTGTACATAAAATGTAAAGCCAGGATGTGTTTCCAATAAACCTTCCAATGTACTGTTCATTTGTATCTGTATTTTGTCACAGATCCTGACTAAAGACTCGGTCACTGTGTCCGTGGATGGAGTCGTCTACTTCCGCATTCACTGTCCCATCTCAGCTGTGGCCAACGTGTCCAACGCACACTCCTCCACACGGCTGCTTGCTCAAACCACTCTGAGGAATGTACTCGGCACCAAAAACCTTTCAGAACTACTGTCTGACAGAGAAGGAATTTCAGTGAGCATGCAGGTGAGATAAAAGACGACACAAACAGTCAATTGTACTGAAATGAAATACAGTCCCATGGAAACATAGTGATTGCCTCAAGAACAACAAACTAAAATATTAAGATTTGTTACGGCTGATCAACATAGTCAGCATAGTAATAATTGTGAGAAGAAAGAAAAATGATATAAAGCAGGTTTTTCAAAGTTTTGTACAAATCTAAATTAATTTTCCATGTTTGTTGTGATCTCAACATGGCTCTAACTTCAAAGGGGAGTTCTTTCTTTACACTATTTTTATTTGTCAAAATTATGAATCATTTTCCTTCCACTTCACAACTATTCACTGCTTTCAGTTTGTCTACCACTAAAATCCCAGTAGAGGGAAATATTTTGTAGTTGCATGAGAAAATGTGAAAACATTTTTATCGAATGCTAAAATTTGTGAGTACTTATGTAGGTAGTAGCAGCCTTACAAAGATCTTTACTCAAAATATTTTTGATAATTTAGTCTGAGTTTGCAGTACTTCTGAAATGAAACTGAAGGAGAATTTGTTCTCTCACAGGCGGCCCTGGATGAAGCCACTGACCCATGGGGGATCAAGGTGGAGCGTGTGGAGATCAAGGATGTGAAGCTGCCTCAGCAGCTGCAGAGAGCCATGGCTGCAGAGGCGGAGGCCAGTCGGGAGGCCAGGGCTAAAGTGAGAGCAGCAGTGGAAGATTTACTTTCCATATCACACTCTACATCACTGAAAATAGAAATAAAAAAATTGTGGGAAATGGTTGCGAGGCTTATTATTGTTTGTGTCTGTTTCAGATCATCGCTGCAGAAGGTGAGATGAATGCTTCCCGGGCTCTGAAAGAAGCGGCTCTAGTCATCAGTGAAGCCCCGTCTGCTCTCCAGCTGCGATACCTGCAGAGTCTCAACGCCATCGCTGCAGAGAAGAACTCCACCATAATCTTCCCTCTGCCCATAGACATGATGCAGAGTTTCATGCAGAAAAAGTGATGAACCATGTAGCCTGCACAATTATTTTCGTCCCAAAGTAAGTTTGCATGTTTCGAATAGGGAGGAAAAAGAGCTACTCATTGATGCAAATACAAACCAAACACTGTTTTTGTGTACTTATTATGCTTAATGTGATTTAATAATTAAATACAAAGTGCAACATACATAGCCATAGCCTCTCATTACTAACCTCAGCTAAGTTACAGTTTCAGTAGAGAAGGGCATATGAAGTAGGCAAGGAACAAAAACAATTCACAAATAACTTATAAAGACATGCTTTCATGGAGACTTCTCTGGAGTATTTGATTACAATCATTTTTAACAACAATCCACAGAAGTAGCAACATCCACATGATGCAGCAACCTCTCTCTGATATTGCATGAAAACTATAAACAAAAGCTTAACTCTTATTCATTCAGTAAATGTGTACAAGACGGTGTCCACAGGACACAGAGGCAATCAGTGCAATTGGAGTACCTGATGTAGAGAAAGGCAACTTCCACTGTCAGAATACAGCAAATCCTCTTCCCAATAAACGTAATTATCTTATCTACCAATAAACACAGCTATAGCCAAATACCTGCTTTAAACATGTTTACACACATTACAATAGATGAAATGTATAAATGAAATACTGTAATGCTTAAAGCTGCAGTAGGGAACATTTCTAATCATTTATTTATTTATTTGCATAATTGTTAAAATTGTCACCATGTCATGATATTATAACATGAGACAGATAATATGGGAAACAATTGAGCTCCTCCGTTTCCTCTCCGTGGTTCCGCAGCCATCTGCAGTAATATACTGCATTCACTCAGAAACAACCAATCAGAGCCAGGACATGGGTCTTAATTCTGTCAATCATGCTGATGTATCCACTCCTCGATGGAAAAAACCAGTCATCTATTGTCATCAGTGGCCATGCTAACTAGCCTTAGCTTTCATGGCAGGCTCCAGTGTGACAAACTAGCTGAGAGCAAGGGGAGCGTGTGAGCTGCATGGACAGAAGCGTAACACCCTCCTCCTGGTTCTGATTGGTTGTTTCTGATTGAGCGGAGTATTTCTGCAAATGGCAGTAGGACCACAGGGAGAAAACAGAGGAGCTCAATTTTTCACAGATTGCCTCTCTCATGTTTTAATAAACATGTGAAAAACATATTGTTTCTAAAAGTTACTCACTGCAACTTTATGTAGTGATATATTTCAAAGACCTATTTGGAATATTTCTACCTACTGCTAACATCTAAGAAAAATGTTTAGCAAGACAGACTTCTGACGGCTGGTTGTCATTATGTAAACATGAATGAATAAAATAAATGAAATTTAAATAAAATAAAAACCATGGCAGTTGCTTCCCTTTGATGACTTATGCATTTTCTCAAATCCTGAGTGTAACCCAGTGTTAAAAACACAAGTGAAAGTTAATGATGTTAATTTGATGTCTTTTTTTCCCACAAGATTGGAAAGTATAAATAGATTTTGTGTTTTGTTTTACTTAAAAAAATATATCAAAAAGTGCTAAAAATCTTTATAAAGCTGGGAAGTAGGCCTTAAGTGATTGTTTTGCTGATGGATTGGGCAACCAATGGCTGGTGTAGTCTGATATTGCGTCAGGCAATGGGGTTGATTGTCCCGCCCCTTTCACTACTCACAGCTGACTGTTGTTTTCGTTAAGAGCCTGAAAGAGCTTATAAAATCTGGACAAACAGTAAGAAAATATCACTAAAGGCCTACTTCCCAGCTTTTTAAAGATTTTTAGCACTTTTTGATATATTTTTCCAAGTAAAACAAAACACAAAATCTATTTATACTTTCCAATCTTGTGAATAAAAACATCACATTAACATAATTAACTTTCACTTGTGTTTTTAACACTGGGTTACATGAGCTTAATCAAAACAATGAAAAATGAGGTAAGATTGCATTTCTTTCTTCTAAGTGACTCAAGAAATGTTACAAAACAGGAACACAAGCTAGAGATATGGTGGAGAGACTTTATAATTGCTCTAACTGTTCAAACTGCACATATGGAAATATGAAAAAACACTGAACAGCACACAGAAAAGATAGAGCAAACTGTTACTGCTGCAAAAGGATTCATACACCTTAAGCTTTTCAACAATTTGTCACGTTGAAACCACAAACTTAAATGTTTCTTATTAGGACTTTATATGATAAACCAAGGCAACGTAGTGCATAATTGTAAAATGAAAGGAAATTGGTAGTTCGCAAATTAAAAAAAAAGACTTCTAAAGTTAGTAATGCTATATATATTTATATGTGATTTAATCCCATCTAAATGCAGGCAATTGGGTATTAACGTTAAATTTTTGTCTCAAGAAGTTTTATTGTGGTGAAATAAAGGTTGAATAAAGAAAAAAATACAATTTCCACTGTGGAAACACAGTGGTAGCAGCTTCAAGCTTATCAGAGTTGATGTGAAAATGAATGCCGCTAAATTAAAGATGAACCTGCCAGAATGTGAAAAGGTTCCAGTAGGCCCAAATCATCGCCAGATTTACATTGAAATGTCTTAGATGAAGAAATAATCATATGTTAGAATCTTACATGCATACTTTTTTTTTTTAGCTTACATATGTATGGAATACTTTTCAGCTTTCAGTTTATGAAATCCAAATAAAAACATTCAAGTTTGTGTTTGAAACATCCCAAAATGTGAAAAAACTCAAGGGGCTTCGTCTGAAGCACGAGTGTTCTGCATTGAGTTCCAAGCATGTAACTGATGTGCAGTGTTACAGTTTAAGAACTTCATCTTTGGTGGTTTTATTTTGTGTGAGATGACTACCTTTTCTTTAATTCAACTGAGGGTGAGGGTTCTTTCTTCTCCAAAATATGTTGAAGTGCTTCTTTTTAATTCTTCTCATCATCATACATACATGAAATAATCTGAAAATCTGTTCTAATCGGAAGACAACCCATGCTGCAAAGATAGTCATACATCTACAGAGTCTACACATGTAATAACTCATAATATACATACACTGTATTGGCAGTAAAGTGGCGTTATGAATGGTTTGTGGTTAGATGGCTTGGTATAAATCATACGCTCACGATAAATGAAATGTTTCTACATGAAAATGTTGAGAACTGAAGTTGGCTTTTTCTGATAATACTGCCAAGCCCCAGGTGGACCTTGCTGGTGGGAGCGAATGGATAACGGAAGGCGCTTCATGTTTTTTGAGTTTTCTATGTCTTATTTATCCATCATCCTGAGAGCTGGAGGAGAAGATGAAAATGTAGATGGAGGCGAAAACATGTAAATGAGGCACTGCGATGCTCTCTGAACTGTCACCTGCTGGAGAAACAAGCTAAGGTTTTACTCTTTGTGGAATTATCCGTACAATTCATGAAGTCAAAGTAAAAAAAAACGTGTTTTGGAAATGCATCAAATGAGAGGAGATTCTCTCTAAACAAACATTACTGTCTCTTTGTCCACTGATTGTACAATATTCCTTTAAAATAGAGGAAAAATGTTTCAGAGTTAAACAAAACACTGGTAAAATAAGATGTTTGGTACCAACAGTCACTGGTGGTAGGAGTGGGGGCGGGCGGGGGAGCCCGGTCCAGAGGCTGGGTGGTGGATGGGGGAGGAGCTGGGGGTCATGTGTGGACTCAGCTCGCCTGTCTGCAGACGCCACAGCAGCTCTTCGTTGGTGCGACTCAGACGCTTCTTCTCTTTGCTCTCCAACTCCACGTGCACCTGCAGGTTGGCGTTCTCTTCAGAGAGTTGCCTGAGTTAGAAAAGGGACAAAGAAAAAAAAAACTTAAGTCATTTTGATAGCTACCATGTTCATGCCCCTTAAACTTTTAGCATTGTTGTGATGCTATAATCACAAAAGTGAGTTTTATTAAGATTTTATGTGACATCCATTACTGAAGTGACAGTAAAATGTATATAAAATGTGGCATCTCTATTCACACTCATTTATTTTAATACTTTTTAAGATAATCTCTGAAGGAGCTGCAGAGATTCTCAGCACTGATGGGAGGAAAAAAAGAGATAAAAAAGGTCTCATTTAGTCAGTGTCAACCCAAATAAGGGACACAATAAACATGGATGAAACCTTTTGGTCTATAAGCAAACAGTGTTTGTGAAAAAGATAACACACATACACACACGCAACACAACACCCCCACCATAAAACATAATAGTGGATTGGTGTTGTGCTATTTTTTTCTGCAAAATTAAAAAAAGTAGAAAAAACAGTTATAAAAAAAAGCTACAGACTACAAAGGACTTGAGAATGGCACCAAGGTTCAGCTTCCAGCTGGACAATGACCCGAAACATGCAACAATGGAATGATTTCAATCAAACTATTCTCACGTGTTGGAAGGGCCCAGTCAAAATCCTGAATTTGGAGCAAGATCTAAAAACTGATGTTCACAGATGTTCACTCTCCAATTTAACAAGAGCCACATTGTACTGAAAAACCTGCAAAAATTTGGTTTTAGAAGTGGAAAAATGATAGAGACATACGCCAATGAAAAGAAATTGATAGAGACATACGCCAAAGAAAGAAATTGCTATATAGCAATATAGCAGTAACTATAGCAAAAACTAGCTCCATAAAAACTATCCATAAACTAAAACTTCAGTTTTTAAATAAAAGAAATGAAAAAAAAAGGAATGCTCCTGGAATGTTGAACTAAATATACGCACATAAAACAGACCTGGATACAGCCAGATTCTTGTCTATCTGCTCTCTCAGGTCTTCGTTCTGCTGCTGCAACACTTGCAGTCTCTCCTCCAGGTGCACATTCTTTTCAGCCTGCTCAAAAACACAGGAGAAAACAGCGCGAAACATTAAAGTCTTTAAATGAGTTAAAGCTTTGAGTGATATAGATGGTAATGCCATTTGATTTTACAGTCAAAAATGGTCACTTCATTGAGATCATTACTATTTGACTGTTTTTGAAAGGATAGAACTGTATAGCAATTTTATAAAATTCAAATATATCTTTGTTTTATTTAATATTACAAAATAAATATAAGACACTCAAAAGTCATTGCTGTTACTTTACAAAATATTCTGAATAAAAGTGGAAGCATACTATTTTCTCCAGTTCTGAAATCTTCAACTCTTGTTGATGAATTTGTTGATTCTTCATCTCCAGAACTTCTTTAAGGCTCTTCAGGTCCTCCTCAATATGCTTATATGGAGCCAAAGCGTCCTGAAAGAGAAGCGTTGTTCGTTCTGCAGGTATTTTCAGAGCTGTCAGTGTCTTATAGTGTTCTGCTTCATGAAAACTTACAACTATCTGCTCATCTGTGCTCTTACGAAGAGCTTCTTCAAAGCGTTTTGCTCGATCTCTCAGGCTGCGGTTCTGAAATGTAAGCATGTCCACCTGATCCTGGAAATCAAACACACACATTTGCAAGGGATTTTTTTTTCTGGTGGTAAATTTGACCTTACAATAAAAAACACATACCTGAAGGGAAAGTCTGATTTTCTCAAACTCTTCCTCTAGAGACTTTTTCTGTTGTTCATGAGCCATTTTCAGATCTGTTAAAAGGCATAACATATCTCAAACTGTAGAATACGCACAAAGGAAATTTTTTTAAAGTGCTTCTTACTCTTCACTGTCCTTGCATGCTCCTCCTGCAAAGTGTCCAAAGTGTCATTGTGGGCTGTCTCCATCTCTGTCAAGGATGCCTCATGATTCTCTGTCATCTCCTCAAGCTACAACAAAAATGTTGAAACATTTTTTTAGTTTTGTTTTCAACAAAAAGTTCTTCATTTTCAGTTTTCATGCCAAATCATTCAAATCCTGAGCAAGTTAAGACATTAGAGTCTGTTTCTGCATGCTGCACCTGCTCCTGGTGTCTGAACTGTAGCTCCTCCAGCTCAGCTCGCTGATGGGCCTGCAGGCTCTCGGTCTCCTCTGTGTGCCGAGCCTTCAGCCTCTCCTCCAGCTCTCCCAGCTCTCTCCGCTGCTGAGCCTGCAGCCCCTGCAGCTCAGCCTCAAAACGCTGCTCCTGATCCTCCTTTTCCTGCTGCAGCTGCTCCCAGTGCGCGACACTAACGGCTGGAAAACATACAGAGGCAAAACTGACTTCACCAGATTGCTCATATTGGTAATCAGCTTCTCATCAAATGTTCAAAATAATAGATTCAGTACTATGCCTCAGCTGATAAATAGTTGACTTTAAATAAACCATTCTGGTTAGCATGTTTATTTAACTCATTTTATGCAGTTATGTAATTGAAAAGTGCTTATCTGATATAAATTATTCTCTGAAGATGTCATCTATCACGCACATGTTGGGAGTCTGGCTCCCTGAGGTTTCCCACTTACCCACTTCATCCCTG